AGTGACAGCTCAGAGTCCTAACCCCTGGACCGCCAGGGAATTCCCAGGACCATGAAGGCTTGAACATAGGGAACTTCAGCCCATTTCCCTGTCGTGCAACAGTAGAGATCCAATTGCAAGGTAATATTACAGAGACCCATTTTCAGGCCATTTTTCCCCATTCCCCAACTTATACAATGGCCAGGCAATGTTACAATAGAGTTTAAGTTTTTCCCTTTTCAGCCGTCTCTTTTGAAAATTTCCAATTTTTAAGGATACAATCCAGAGGTGTTTCTTCTGGCTTAGACGAGGATCATCCCATGTTGAATAACGTGGAACTGTGAAAAAGTGCTCCTAGAAATGAAGTACAGTGTCCCAGAGACGTCTACCAGGAGGCTTTTGTCCTATAATATTTTCCTATGCTGGGGGTATTCCTCAAGTTTGAGCATCTCTAAAGCCTAGGATGTGGGCTGCTTGGAAGTGGCCATCCAATAGGTAGTCTGTAACAAATGGTATGGGCTGCCAAGGCCTTGAGTGAAAGGGGTCCTAGAGGTGCAAAACAGGAAGTCCTGGAGGAATTGGAGTTGGGTGCAATGGGAAATGCTACGGAGGTCAGGACCTATGGGCCTACATTGGGAGTATTCCCACAGGGGATTTTTTTTTGGACATAGAATAAGGTGACAGACTAGACAGCAGAACAACGCCAAACCTTTTCCCCTATCTGTTTGGCAGCTATGAGAAAACTGGGGAGAGCCTGATGATTCCATCTGACACAGGCAACAATGAGTTTCGACAATGTTTCCCATGTAATTTAACATACCAAGTGAACACAGTTAGTTTAGGAACTCTGTCTGGAGGCTCCAGGGGCCCCATGAAGCCTCCCAAATTAACTGAAGTCAAAAGAATTCCAATTAGAATTTGATATTTGGGAAATCTGTCAAACATTTCCAGAACTTTTAAAACACCCAGTCAAATAGAATCATAGGCTGCTGTGATACAATTATTCCTTGAGCAAAGGTGGAAAAAGAAAAAGATTTCAAAAGTAAATACAGCTCACTTAAAGGCACAGAAACTCACACAATCTGTTATCAAAAGGAGCATTCCCAGAAAATGTTGTTTTCTTATGAGAGAAAGAAACCAAATCCAGTCTTATATCAGCCTACTCTTGATAAGACCCAGTTACCTAATTAAAGTTAATCCAACCTTAGAAAATCCCGACCACATACAAAATTCTTTTCTCAATGTTCCGTTTCCACAAATCTTCTGCAACTTTCTGTAGCCGTATTTTGTCCCTTCTTTTTTCCGTTCAGAAATAACCAGCTGTAGGACAAAATCACATATTTCCTTCTAACAAAATACATTTCCATTCCTCATACCTTCTTTTCTGAAAGCACACATCCTACTTTCCTTAAGCCACCATGAACTGTCTTTTACATTAGCATTCCCTGATTGGAATATCCCATAACCTGTTGGGAAGATCCCATGGGAAGATCCCATGTACCTTTAGAGAGGTGGGATAGGGAGTGTGGGAGGGAGGGAGGTGCCAGAGGAAAGAGATATGGGGATGTATGTGTATGTATAGCTGATTCACTTTGTTATAAAGCAGAAACTAACACACCATGGTAAGGCAATTATACTCCAATAAAGATGTTACAAAAATAGAAGATAAAAATAAATAAATAAAGCTTCAGTTTCCCTAAGTGCAAATGTTTGCACTGAAAGTGTGGGAATCTTTGAGTTTTTGAATCAAGACTGGGTTCTTGAAGTCTTTCTGTTTCTGGATTCCAAGGTTTTAATCAACCATGGATCTGAGAGGACTTGCTTCAACTCAAAGGTCATGCTTGGGCTCTGGCCCATTGCAGGCCACTGACAAATATGCTGATTTCCCATTGCTATAAGAGGAGCTTGGGAAAAGTGGAAGGAAAACACATGTATGACTTCTCCCCTCTGAGCCTGCCTGATGAAGTTAGAATGATTATGATTTAAGAGTGTTTCACTCTCTGAACCTCACTTTACTCTTCTCCCAACCCAGCTCAGCTATCTACTTTGTAAGCTTATTAGGTGAACTGAGTAACACAGGAAAAAAATTATGGTTTTTAAGATTGAAAGAGGAGAAATGTAGGCAAAGACTTATGAGCCAGAGTCTTTATTAAGGAAAGGCGTGTTTATGGTTTGAGGATATGCTTATGGTTCCATATTAGGAGGAAAAAGAATATATATGTGAATTATTTGTAGGGTCATAACTTGGTACCGTGTTTCTCAACAGAGGTGCTACAGGCATTTTGAACAGAGCCTGTCTTCATTGGGTGGGATGTGCCAGCATCCCTGGCCATTGCCTAGTAGTGTGTCAGGAACAGTCCCTAATCATAGGACAAACAACCACGTTCCCAGCATTCTCACACCACGTACACAACACATACACACCATGCATACACCACACACACACACAGACTGTTCCTCCCTGAGGACAGGAACCCTGTATTTCTTGTTTTAATATCCCAGCTTCTGCCCCAGGCAGGGCCTGGCACCTAGGAGATACCCCAGGTGCTGCCACCCTGGTCCTATAGACCCTCATTTCTTGCCTGGACCTCCAGACTGGTCTCCGAGATCCCACCCTGTGTGCTATACTTTAGTCTCCACATAGCTGTCTGAGTGTTTGCTTTAAAGCAGGAGTCATGCCAGTTCCCTGCTCATTACCCTCAGTGCCTTCTCATTTATGCCTAGAAAAAAGTCGAAGCTCCCTACCTTGGCTCTCAGGCCCTGCGTAATGTTGGCCCCTACTCCTCTCTGCTCATCTCCTACTACATCCCTCGCCCACACCATCCCAGCCAGCAGGCCTCCTTCCTGCTTGAATATGCCAAGGCCATCACCACCTCAGGGCCTCCACCTTGGCTGCCTCCCTGTCCTCACTTGCTCTCCCTGCTAACCTTGGCATGACTCATTTCTTTACATGTACAACTCAGCTGCTCCTGTGAGGAGTTTTACTTGATCGTATGAGCTACAACAGGCAACCTGTAATAGCACATCTCCCTGTTTTACTTCCTTTACACCACTTCTTAGATCTAAAACAATTTGTCTTATTTACTTCATTTACCCTGTTGATGCCAAAAGCTCAGCTTCTCTGTACACCGGCGCTAAATCAAATCTCGGAGACAGAGTTTTGGGTGAAGTAGAAAAGGATAGCTTTCTTACTTTGCCAGGCAAAGGGGGACACAGCAGGCTCCTGCCTCGAAAAACTGTGTGTCTCCTTGGAGAGGATAGTGAGAAGTTTTAAAGTAATGGTTCAAAGATGCATGATCAGCCCTTAGACATTCTTCTGATGAGGTGGTTGTGAGGTAAGTAGGAGTCAGCATCATCGACCTTCAGGTTCCAACTGGTCTGGGGTCTACATGCTTGTGGGCAGCATACCATTGTTAGTCATTAACTTCTCCCACCTGGAGGGGGTTTCAGTATCAGAAAACAGCTCAAAGATATTGTTTTGTGTATCCGTTGATGGGGAGCCAGGACCTTGCCCCAAGGCTGCACTGTTGTTTCTCTTGACTGTTTCTCACTGGTCTCGCATCCCCTCCCTTCCCTAATTAACAACTGCTTGAATCTGCCCGGTGGAACTCAGAGAAGGTCATGGAGGCTGAATGAAGTCTATTTCCTGTGATCAAAGAAATGGGGGACACAGAAAGGCTTTGTGCCCAGGAGCCCCACAGGGCCCTGCTCGGTGTCACTGGCTCCCCCAAGTAAAAATGTTCTCGTGTATCATTAGTGTCTAAAAGATACTGAACACAAGGACAGAGGAATAAATGTGTGATTAGATGAGAGGATGGATGGGCGAAGGGTAGGTGGGAGGATGAGTGGCTGGAAGGGAAGATGGGTGGGTGGGTGCAAGGATGGTAGGCAGAGATAGATGGAGTGAGTGGAGACGGATCAAAAGATGGGTGCATGGGCAAATGGATGGAGGGGTGAGTAGATGAATTACAACTTCTGTAATATATTATATGGACCTAGAAAAGGCAAGAACTTCTCTGTGCACGAGGACATGCTGTGTGCTGGGGACTTCTCGAGAGGGAAGGCCATCTGCCGAGTGAGTAAGGCCATTTCCGTTCTTCCCTTGCCTGTTGTCAGGGCCTCAGTTTCTCTGGGGGAGGGGCTGTGTTGCCTCTACTGTCTTTGTGGAGACCCCTGGGACTTTCCATTTCCTCCCTCTACATGTCTTCCTGACCTCCATTCCTTGGCAGAGTCCCCCAGGATAGCCCCTTCCTAAGCCCCTTGCACATAAGGGCATCTACTGGCAGCACCCTCAAACAGCATCTTTTTATGAGGCACACTTTAAAGTTTTTATTGAAGTATAACATACATACAAAAGAATATATTTGTGCTCTTTTCATAAGTTGGATGAATTTTCACATAGTGACGCAACACGTGACCAATACCCCAGAGGCCCCACTCACACCTCCTTCCTATCATCAACACCCAACAGAAACCACCACCTTCACTTTTGACACCTTAGATTCTGCATGTTCCATAAGTAGAATTCATTTCCAGTTGTCAATCTTTCATGTCTTAACATTGTATTTGTGAGAGTCATCAATACTGTTACATGTAGTTATAGTTTGTTCAGTCTCCTTGCTCTAGAGGACTCTATTGTGTGAATTGAATTCTATGATCAGTTCTACTCTTGATGGGTATTTTAGAGGTTTCCCAGTTTTTCATTTCATTTCACTTCCAAATGTTTTCTCTTGTATTTCACAGAAGCCCTTGAGTAGAATTGTTGGATTAAAAGGTATGTGTATATTCAGCTTTGGCAGGTATTTCCAGACATCTCCAAAGAGGTTGCACACTTTCCACTCATCCCAGCAGTGGATGAGAGTTTAATATTTATTTATTTTATTTATGTATTTTCTTTATTTTTTTTGGCTGTGTTGTGTCTTAGTTGCATCACAAGGGACCTTTGTTGAGGCATGCGGGATCTTTCGTTACGGTGCATAGTCTGCTCCAGTTTCTCTCTAGTTGTGGATCTCAGGCTTCTCTCTAGTGGTTGCGTACGGGTTTTCTCTCTCTAGTTGCGGCGTGCAGGGATCCGGAGTGTGTGGGCTCTGTAGTTGTGGCACGTGGGCTCTCTTGTTGAGGCACACGAGATTATTAGTTGTGGCGTGAAGGCTTAGTTGTAAACCAACTATAGTTCAATTTTTAAAAATGGAAAATTTTTAAAAAATAAAGTATACATTCTAATGGTAAAAAGAAAATAAGAATTTGTGTTTATGTGTTCCCTTTCATGCAGAAGTGGGATGCTTACAGAGGCACTAAGCTCCTCATATTTGGAATCTGTACCCTAAAAAGGCTGTTCTGGGACCCAGATTCACAGACCACCGTAAGTGAGAGGGCTTATCTAGTAGTGCTGAGTCAGCCAACATTGAACACAATCCATGAGCACTGTCCCCTCTTCCTCCCAGAGACCGTGGCAGACACTAGGAGCAGATCCCTGTCCTCTCTCCCTGGAGCCCAGATAGAACTGAAAGTTCACTAACAAAACCAGACGTGGCACATGACATAGAAGCTATTTGACACTCACGTGTCCCACCCATGTCCCACCCTTCCCACTCAGGTCCATAGATGAACAGGAGGAGGCCCACGCATGACAGCCCAGTTCATGGATACCAGACACAGGGCTGCATGTGGATGCTACTTCTCCTCACTCTCTCCTCATTTGTAAACATCTACCAATAAATAATATAAATAATCCCACACCTATAAAATTGTCAGTTGGAAATGATGGACACTTTAAAAGTTGCTGGTCATCTAATCCTAGACAAAGTCAGACTCCCGTATGAGGGAGAATTGATCCCACCAGTGCCTCCCACTGCAGTGGGCTTCGTCCTCCCTGCTCTGTATTTTTACTGATTTTATGGTTGCCTGCTCCCTTCCAGGGAACCCACGTAGTCAACCTAGTAAGTAACCTTTCCAAAAGGTTTCCCACGTTCATATAAATCTATACAAAAATATTAAAATGGAAAGATGCTTATCATAAAATATTAAGTCGTCATTAGACATAATTAAGTACGCACATAACATGGGTGGATGTCCCAATATAAAAAATACAAGTAAAACGTGCAGTTCTGGTAGGATGACAAAGTGCTCTGAACTAAATGACATCCTAAACCAACTCTCAGTACATACACGAGCATAAATATTTATAAATATTTCCACCATCATTTATCAATGACATTTCATAAAAATTACTCATTTTACTGAAAAGTTCTAGAACTCTACAACTTCTGCATATATCGGATGATAGTGTTCCTTCAAGTATTCGTCAAGTACCGGCTGTTTCATCCAGGCTGGTGTCCAATCATGTGTCCCTTTCCAGAAGAAAAGGTAAAGTAGGGAAGCTGTAGTTTCATAAAGAGATTCTTTTAGACTCAGGACACAGCAGAGCCTGCTTCACCATCTTCATAGACATACTTTCCCGAGCCCAACAGGTGGTCCCGAATTGTCTCCTTTGCCAGTCTTTCCCCCAGCGTTTCCAAGGCATCCAGCAGGGTGTTGACTGAGGCCGCCCGTCCCTTGTTGCTGACCCAGGTCTCTAGCATTTCATACAAGGCATCCCGAGGGACCCGGACCCCTTCTCTGGCCAGAAGGATCTCATTTCGCGTGAGGCCCAACTGCCTCATGAGTGAGTCCCAGGAGTTAGGGGACACGGCGGTTGCAAAGTAATCGAAGAATAGTCTCAGACCTAGGTTGAGGGAAAGTCACAGAGACAGAGTTGGGACAGGCTTCAGAAAGGGCAGAGGACCCTCAGTCAGGCCTAGACCCCAGGGTGGGACCTGAGGAGCGCCCTCTGCTGGTGAACCTGCTGCTCTGCGTCCCTGACATGCTTCCCATCAGCAGAGAATCAGGCCACACTGCATGGGCCTCACCTGTGCCCAAGGCACTGCAGGGAGTCCAGGTTTCCAGAGAGTCCTGCCCTAAGGGGGGATGAGGGCCCACCAGGGAGGGGAGATGGAAATCATGGAGGGAGAAGGCAGTCTGTGGTAGGAGACAGAGGGCGGGACACAGTGGTGCAACAGACCTCAAAGGAGGACACCTGCCGTTCTCACGAGAGTGAGGTCCCCTGGCTGCCACCTCTGCAGTGGGGACAGAGCAAGGGCCTGGAGGGAGGAAGGTCTCTGGCCTCACACCCAGCTCGGCCTCGCTGACTGACACTGTGGCAGAGCTAGATGGGGACAGACTCGGAGCAAGAATTTAACCCATAAAATGGAGCAAGCACCACCCACCTCACGGGACTGTACTGGGGATTCAATGAGACATGTGTGAAATGCAGTGCACACCACCGTCCATAGGTACATAAGGTGGGCCCCGATACAAATTTATATTTTCTAACGGCTACACTGAAAAACGTAAAAAGTAACAAGTAATAACTAATTTTCATAAAATAGGGTACTAACTCGATATATTCTAAAAATTTTCATTTCAGCATGTAATCAGTATACAACAAACTGTTAATGAGACATATTACAGTCCTTTTTCCTACCAGTTCTTTGCAATACAGTATCGAGTTACACTACAGCTCATCAGATTTGGCCACAGGTCAGATGCTCCACAGCCTCCCGCGGCCCCTGGGTGCCCTGCTGGACGGCACAGCCCCTTAGATGCCTCAGGGTGGGCCAACCTGGCCCTGAGCAACAGGGGAGGAGGGAGGATGGGGGGCAGGGAAGGACAGGGAGGTGTTAGGGGACACTGTTAGGGGACAGAGGGGTGCAGGGTGGGGAGAAGAAGAGGGGGCAGAGAGGGAATTAGAGTCCCGAAGGTCCAATGACAAGCCATCCCTGCTCTGAGTTGCCCTAACAGCTATGGGGACGGCAGTTAGGGCACTGTCCCTCCTCCCTCCACTCCTGCCCCAGTGCCCGGGGAAAGCACTCACTTTCAGTGGGGTCTGCACCGTTTGCTGGAACCAGCAGCCTTCTTCTCGTGTGAGATGCTTCATCTTCTGTTGGTTCCTGTAAAACACAGTGGAGAACAGCCTTGGTCTTAATCAGGGGTCCTGGGTTCCAGAACTGAGCCCGGCAACCAGCCCGCTGCGTGACATGGGCAGCCACCTTCCCTCCCGGGTCTCTGTGGAGATGGAGAGGAACCTCTCACCCTGAGCAGTTCACAGGCTCATGTACTCATGGAGGGACATGTTCCCTGCAGTAATGCTCACTTCTTAAGTATCTGCTCCAGTTTTGACAACTGTATGCAGCTGAGTAGCCATCACCCAATCAAGACACAGAACATTCCCAGCACCCACACAGTCCCTTCTGCCCTTCTAGTCCTTTCCCACCCACCTCGTCAGGAGACAAGCACTCCATCCCAGCCTTCTTGTGACTCAAATGAAGAGTATTTACAAGGGCATTTTGGAAAATCTAAAGTAAGTGTCTATTCCATGTACATGAAGGTGCTTTGATCGGCAATAATGTACCATATCAATAGCCTAAATAAGGGAATGAAAGCATCTGATAGCCTCCATGGAGACTGGAAAGGCATTTGGTAGAAGTAAACATGAACTCTGACTTTGTAAAAATACCTAAAAATTGGAGGCTGCATCCACAATGATAAAATTTTCTATATGAACACAAGAGTCAGCATCATTCCTAATGGTGAAATGTTGGAGGCATTCCCAATGGAATCAAATCAAGACCAAAATATCTGCCTTCTCTAAGCATCTTTGAACATAAGTTCTGGACTATGCAGCAAGCAAGATGTGAAGCAAAAATGAGGCAAAACTAGGGGAAGGGGGCAGAAAAAATAATTATGATTTTAATATGGCTGAATATTTTAAAAACCTAAGGTTTAAGCTACAGTACTTAAAAATGAGTGCATGTCTTGATGAATGTTAAAAACATAGCAGAAACAACATATTAGAAAATGAGATTATAAGAGGATCCAACCATTAAGAGTAATAAAGAAACAGCTTTGACAAGAAATAGTCATAACTTATCTGAAGAACTCAAATCTTATTGAGTCATAATAAAAACCCTTGACTTGAAATGCTGTCTCCTTTTTTTATTCATATATTTTTTCATTGAGTTATAGTTGATTTACAATATTATATTAGTATCAGGTGTACAATGCAGATTCAGAATTTTTAGAGATTATACTCCATTTAAAGTGATTATAAAATATTGGCTATATTCCCTGTGCTGTACAATCTATTTTTGTAGATATTTGTTTTGTATATAATAATTTGTACCTCTTAATCCCCTACCCCTATTTTGGCCTTCCACCTTCCCTTTCCCCCTGGTGACCACTAATTTGTTCTCTATATCTGTGAGTCTGCTTCTTTCTTGTTATATTCATTTGTTTTTTTATTTCTTAAATGCCACATTAGGTGATAACATACAGTATTTGTCTTTCTCTGTCTGACTTATTTCATTAAGCATAATACCCTCCAGGTCCATCCATGTCGCTGCAAATGGCAAAATTTCATTCTTTTTTACGGCTGAGTAGTATTCCATTGTGTGTGTGTGTGTGTGTGTGTGTGTGTATACATGTATATCTCACATCTTCGTATCCATTAATCTGGGTTTTTTTCTTTCTTTTTTGTATTTATTGTGGTAAGAACACTTAACATGAGATCTACCCTCTTAACAGATTTTTAAGAGTACAATACATTTATTATCTATAGGCACATTGTGGTAATGCAGATCTCTAGAATTCATCCATCTTGCACAACTGAAATTTTATACAAGTCGATTAGCAACTACCCATTTGCCCCTCTCCCTAGCCCCTGGCAAGCATCATTCTATTTCTTGCTTCTGTGAGTATGACTATTTTGGATATCTCATATAAGTGAAATCATGCAGTATTTGTCCTTTTGTGACTGGCCTATTTCACTTAGCGTAATGTCCTCAAGGCACATCCATGTTGTAGCATATTGCGGGATTTCCTTATTTTTTAAGGTTGAACAATATTCCATTGTATGTATATACCACATTTTCTTTTTTTTTAAATACATCTTTATTGGAATATAATTGCTTCACAATACTGTGTTAGGTTCTGTTGTACAACAAAGTGAATCAGCCATATGCATACATATATCCCCATATCCCCTCCCTCTTGAGCCTCCCTCCCACCATCCCTATCCAACCCCTCTAAGTCATTGCAAAGCACCTAGCTGATGTCCCTATGCTATGCTGCTGCTTCCCACTCGGTATCTATTTTACTTTTGGTAGTGTATATATGTTGATGCTACTTTCGCTTCGCCCCAGCTTCCCCCTCCCCGCGGTGTCCTCAAGTCCCTCCTCTATGTCTGCGACTTTATTCCTGCCCTGTCACTATGTTCATCAGTACCATTTTGTTTTTTTTAGATTCCATATATATACGTTAGCATACGGTATTTGTTTTTCTCTTTCTGACTTACTTCACTCTGTATGACAGACTCTAGATCCATCCACCTCACTACAAATAACTCAATTTCATTTCTTTTTATGGCTGAGTAATATTCCATTGTATATATGTACCACATCTTCTTTATCCATTCATCTGTCGATGGACATTTAGGTTGCTTCCATGTCCTGGCTATTGTAAATAGTGCTGCAATGAACATTGTGGTACATGATTCTTTTTGAATTATGGTTTTCTCAGGGTATGTGCCCAGCAGTGAGATTGCTGGGTCATGTAGTAGTTCTGTTTTTAGTTTTTTAAGGAACCTCCGTACTGTTCTCCATAGTGAGAACTGAGGGTTGTCTTTTCGTCTTGTTTATGGTTTCCTTTGCTGTGCAAGAGTTTAAGTTTAATTAGGTCCCATTCGTTTATTTTTGTTTTTGTTTTCATTACTCTAGAGGGTGGGTCAAAAATGATTTTGCTGTGGTTTATGTCAAAGAGTGTTTTCCCTATGTTTTCCTCTAAGAGTTTTATAGTGTCTCGTCTTACATTGAGGTCTTTAATTCATTTGGAGTTTGTTTTTGTGTATGGTGTTAGGTAGTGTTATGATTTCAATCTTTTACAGGTAGCTGTCCAGTTTTCCCAGAACCACTTATTGAAGAGGCTGTCTTCTCCATTGTATGTTCTTGCCTCCTTTGTTGTAAATTAGGTGACTATATGTGTGTGGGTTTATCTCTGAGCTTTCTATCCTGTACCATTGAGCTATATTTCTCTTTTTGTTTTTGTGCCAGTACCATACTGCCTTGATTACTGTAGCATTGTAGTGTAGTTGGAAGTCAGGGAGCCTGATTCCTCCAGCTTCATTTTTCTTTCTCAAGATTGCTTTAGCTATTTGGGGTCTTTTATGTTTCCATATGAATTGTAAAATTATTTGTTCCAATTATGTGAAAAATGCCATTGGTAATTTGATAGGGATTGCATTGAATCTGTAGATTGCTTTGGGTAGTATAGTCATTTTCACAATATCGATTCTTCCAATCCAAGAATGTGGTATATTTCTCCATCTGTTTATGTCATCTTTGATTTCTTTCATCAGTGTTTTATAGTTTCCTGAGTACAAGTCTTTCACCTCCTTAGGTAGGTTTATTCCTAGGTATTTTATTCTTTTTGTTATGATGGTAAATGGGATTGTTTCCTTAATTTCTCTTTCTGATTTTTCATTGTTAGTGTATAGGAATGCCAGAGATTTCTGTGCATTAATTTTGTATCTTGCAACAATACCAAATTCATTGATTAGCTCTAGTAGTTTTCTGGTGGCATCTTTAGGATTTTCTATATATAGTATCGTCATCTGCAAACAGTAACAGTTTTATTTCTTCTTTGCCAATTCGGCTTCCTTTTGTTTCTTTTTCTTCTCTGATTGCTGTGGCTGTGACTTCCAAAACTATGTTGAATAAGAATGGTGAGAGTGGGCAACCTTGTCTTGTTCCTGATCTTAGTAGAAATGCTTTCAGTTTTTCACCATTGAGTATGATGTTTGCTGTGGGTTTGTCATATATGGTCTTTATTGTGTTGAGGTAGGTTCCCTCTATGCCCATTTTCTGGAGAGTTTTTTTCATAAATTGGTGTTGAATTTTGTCAAAAGCTTTTTCTGCATCTATTGAGATGATCATATGGTTTTTATTCTTCAATTTGTTAATATGGCGTATCACATTGATTGCGTATATTGAAGAATCCTTGCATTCCTGGGATAAATCCCAGTTGTCATGGTGTATGATCCTTTCAATGTGTTGTTGGATTCTCTTTGCTGTGGTTTATGTTATTTTTGCATCTATGTTCATCAGTGATATTGGTCTATAATTTTCTATGTTTGTGATATCTTTTTCTGGTTTTGGTATCAGGGTGATGGTGGCTTCGTAGAATGAATTTGAGAGTGTTCCTCCCTCTGCAGTTTTTTGGATTTGAGAAGGATAGGTGTTAGCTCTTCTCTAAATGTTTGATAGAATTCACCTGTGAAGCCCTCTGGTCCTGGACATTTATTTGTTGGAAGATTTTTAATTATGGTTTCAATTTCATTACTTGTGATAAGTCTGTTTATATTTTCTAATTCCTCCCAGTTCAGTCTTGGAAAAATGTACCTTTCCAAGAATGTGTCCATTTCTTCGTGGTTGTCCATTTTATTGGCATATAGTTGTTTGTAGTAGTCGCTTATAATTTTTTATATTTTTGTGGTGTCAGTTGTGATTTCTCCTTTTTCATTTCTAATTTTATTGATTTGCGTACTCTCCCTTCTTCCTTGATGAGTCTGGCTAAGGGTTTATCAATTTTGTTTATCTTCTCAAAGAACTCACTTTTAGTTTTATTGATCTTTGCTATTGTTTTCTTCATTTCTAGTTCATTTATTTCTGCTCTGATCTTTATGATTTCTTTCCTTCTAGTGACTCTGGGGTTTCTTTGTTCTTCTTTGCCTAGTTGCTTTAGGTGTAGGGTTAGATTGTTTATTTGAGATTTTTCTTCTTTCTTGAGGTGAGATTGAATTGCTATAAACTTCCCACTTAGATCTGCTTTTCCTGCATCCCATATGTTTTGGCTTATCATGTTTTCATTGTCATTTGTTTCTATGTATTTTTTAAAA